CGTCCTGGACCCGGTAGCTTAAAACTCATGCCGGGCGCGTGTGCGTGTGTGCCCAAAATCCCGAGAGGAGAATGGAGGAGAAGGGATTGCGGTGTGATCCTCTCCCCTAGGGGGTGATTTCTCGCTTTCTGTCTCTAATGTGTCTCTCTGTCTGTCTGGCGAGTGCACGCTCCCTATAGCAAAAATCTCTCTCAAAAAAAACAAAACTCAGAATGGGGGAATAAAAAAAAAAAAGATGGCTACTATCAAAAATTAAATTCAGAAAATATTAAGTGTTAGTAAAGATATAGAAAGATCAAAACACCATGTACTGTTGGTGAGAAAGCTAAATGGTTTAACCACTATGGAAAACAGCATGGCAATTTCTCAAAACATTAAAAGTAGAATTACTATATGACCTAGCAATTCCATTTCTGGATGTATATTGAAATGAACTGATAGCAAGACCTCGAGGAGATATTTGTATATCCATGTTCATAGCAGCCTTACTCACAAAGTTACACAGAATCAATCTATTGCCCATCAACAGATAAGCAAAATGTGGCATATACATACAAAAAATATAATTCAGTCTTATAAACGAAGGCAGTTTTGTAATATGCTACAACATGGATGACTCTTGTGTACTTCGTGCTATGTGAAATAAGTCAATTACAGAAAGACAAATATTGTATCATTTCACTTACATAAGGCACCTAGAATAGTCAAAATCAGAAACAAAAAGTAGAGTGGTGGTTGCCAGGGAAGAGGAGAGGAGAGATGGAGAGTTATTGTTAAGTGAGTATAGAATTTCAGTTTTACAAGATGAAAAGTTACAGAGAAGGATGGTAGTGATGGCTATATAACATTATAAATGTATTCAATAAAACTAAAATTTACACTTAAATTGGCCAAGATTGGGTCTGGAAGGTGAAACAGGTAAAAGGTGACTCCATGTGAGGCTGACACATATGGGAAAGTTCTGAATTTCCTGAGACCTTCCTGAGTACGTTGGGTACATGCAAACCTGCGATCTGGGGCTGGCTGAGGGCTGGGGTGGATTGTGGCATCAAGACCCTGTAGAAGGTGCTGGGTTTCTCCCTCACTTTCTTATGAAATAAATAAAAACTTTAGAGGAAGAAAATGAACAATGCTTATCTTACTTGGTCTAGTTTTGAGTTTCAAAACAGTGTCAATGAAAGGTCTTAGGATGATGTAAGTGACTTTTGAGTTGTAGCATCTATGATTCCATTACAAAACTATGTAACATTGTAATTCACTTGAAAGCACACAGCTTTTTCGTGGAAAATCCAATATTCTTTCCACCACACCGAGGAGTATTGTCAATATTATTAACTTTTAATAAAAATGACATACACATATTAAGAAGAATATCAATCTCTTGATTGTTCAGATTAATTTTCATATGAAAAGTACACAGAACAAAAATCAAGTTAAATATATAAAAAGAAGCCCCCCCCAGCACAGGATGAATGCAACCCTTGAGTTTAACCTGCTAAACTGCTAACAGTGACTCAGTGCCAGGCAGATGACATGAATGCTCAATGTGGGAGAAAATGCATGGCATTCTCTGGACATCCGTCATAGGTAGGTAGGTGTCCTGAACATTTGGATGACTGTTTTTTTTTTTTTTTTTTTTTTTAAATGGTGAGAACTAGCTGATTGACATTCCTGTGAATTAACCTAATAATTTCAGTCCCGCTATTGTGATGGGGTTATTTTTCTTCTACAGGGTGAGGGTGCCTTAGAACAGGGCCAGGCAGTAAATACTTTAGGTTTGGTGAATCATGTAGTCTCTGTTGCAACTAATCAACGCTGCCACTGTGGTGTAGAAATAGCCACAGACAATACGCAAACAGGTGCAGCTGATTCCCAGGTTATTAACAAGATAGTAGGCACGGGCCAGATTTGGTTCGAGGGCCATAACTGGCTGACCTCCTGCTCTAGAATATCATAAAAAGATCATGAACTTGTGGTCTCCTCACATTCCCTGCCTGTACACACCATACTGCTGACCCCTATCAGTCTCTAGTGCAGCTACCGTCCTACAGCGAAGGAAACGTAGACGGTGATAAGCCTGGAGAATCCATCTAGTCGGGTGGCCATATGGGCAGCCACTTCATGTCCCATCATGATGACCTAAACCCTTACATCCTTCTCAAAGCATTCTGTCAAGTAAGGCAATGCGCAAAATACAAAACTCAGGTTTGGAAAATAAGTTGCTATCCCCCTGAGTAAAACTACGGATAATTTTTTTTTTTTTTTTTTTTTGTGGAGGTTTTTGTATATAGTGCATGCACTCGCCAGAAAGACAGAGAGAGACAGAAAGACAGAAAGTGAGAAATCACCCCCTGGGGGGATGGCCACGCTGCAATCCCTTCTCTTCCATTCTCCTCTCATGATCTTGGGCACACACACACACACACGCACAGTGTGAGTTTAAGCCACTGGGTCCGGGACTCAACCACATGGGATTTCAGCAACACAGTCATCATACCAACTTCTAGTCCCTAAAACTACTGATTTTTTTTTTTTTTTTTGGAGGGGTTTTTGCTATAGGGCGCAGGGGCTCGCCAGCCAGAGAGAGAGAGAGAGACAGAAAGTGAGAAATCACCCCCAGGGGGGATGGCCACACCGCAATCCCTTCTCCTCCATTCTCCTCTCAGGATCTTGGGCATGCACGTACACGCGCCTGGTGTGAGTTTTAAGCCACCAGGTCTGGGACGCGAACCGTGGTCGACTACATGGGAGTCCAGTGACATGGCCATTACGCTAACTGCTGGTCCCACTACTGATGTTTTGATGGAAAAGAAGAAAAAGTACTTTCTAGCTCCTAAGAATGATTTGTAAGAATGCAACCTAATGCTGACCTCCTATTTAGAAGGGATCAAATGCCAACTTTATATTCTGCTTTCCCCTGTGGAGGGCAGGTCATTGCTAAGTTCATTGCTGTTCCCAGGTGCCCTACCAGTCCAACTTCTTGCTCTCCTTATGACTCCTTTCTCACCCTTGCATATCTGGAAACAAGGAAGCCCTGTCAGAGGCTTTCAGAAGGGGGACTTTTAACTTTGGAGCTTCACTGGTCTGTACTTGATTGAACTCTTCATTCTCAAACTGGGAGGTCTTTACTGACTAGACCATACTATTATAGAAACTAACTGGAGGTGAAATAAATCTTTTATTCTTAGTACTTCTTTTAAGAATATAGATTTTGAGGGCTGGCAGGTGACATGAAGGTTAAGGCGTTGGATCCACATGCCCGACTGTGTGGTTTGAATCCTGGACCTAGCAGCTTGAAAATCACAGCAGGCATGTGTGTGTATGCCCAAAATTCCAAGAGGAGCCTAGAGGAGAAGGGACTGTTGGCATGTCTGTCCCCTCTAGGGGATGATTTCTCACTTTCCCTTTTTCAGTCTTTCCGTCTGTCTCTCTAGGAAGTGTATGCACCCTACAAAAAAAATTAAAATTAAAAAAAAAAGGAGGAAGAAAGAATTCAGATTTTGAGATACTTGGTTGTGTGTGTGTTAACATTTGTTTCATAGGATTGATAAATAGTGAGTGGAAAATATCAAATATCAGGAAATGATAGTTTTTCCCACTGTCCCTAGGTACCCCAAATTATATTTGTCTGCACCAACCTGACGGGAATTTTTGATTGTTTGCTTGTTTGTTTATTGAGAAAAAGAAAGAAGCAAGACGGAGAGAAAGGTAATTTTTAATATGTTTTCATGCGATCCTTCTTGCCCCAACTTCTTGGTTAGCCAGGACCATAGGACATGCCACTTTGCCAGGCCTGTTTGGGTTGGGCCAGGAACCTACCCCAGGCCTCCAGTGCAGCCCCAGCCCTCATGCAGTGGTGTCCTCCTGCTTGTGCCACTGCTGCTGGGCCTCTGAGAGTTTGTTTGGTTTTTAATTCTCACATACCCTCAAGTGAATTGTCTCTGAGTGCACAGACACATAAAAGGCATGTACGTCTCCGAACTAGATCTTTCAACGGGGAAGACTAATGATTGGAAGATGGATTGAGTAGAAAGAAACCACAATTCCCAGAGTAGTTCAGGGTCATCAAATTCATTTGTTTCATTTTCTTTTGGAAAGGAGCCTTCGGGTTTGGTTTAAACAATTAGAACATAAGCTTTGTGGGAGCAGAGACCTTGTCAGCTTCATCAACTTGTGCCCAGAACTGCTTTTGGGCATTTGAGGAGCGCTCAGTTAGTACTTGTTTTCTAACTCAAAACTGAGTACCCATAGGTCAGATTTGCTTTTGTATTAACCATGAGAAGTTTCTGGAGATTTCCATGGGAAGGAGCAGGGACTCTAGGAGGAGGAACTTTAGCACTGGATGAGGATGACACCATTTACACACTATGTACCTTGAACATGCAACTTACAAAGTGATCATTTAAATTCCTTGATATGAAAATTGATCTAGGGGCCAGCAGGAGGCAAGGTGGTTAAGGTGCTGCACTTCCACATGGCTGATCACAGTTCAAGTCCTGGACCCGGTGGCGTGAAAATCATGCTAGGCACATGTGTGTACATGTCTAAGGTCTCAGGAGGAGAATGGAGACCGGATGGCAGTGTGGCCATCCACACTGGAGGGTGATTTCTCACTTTTCCTCTCACTATTTGTCTCTCTCCAGCAAGCACATGCACCCTATGGTGAAAACCTAAAGACAAAAATGAAAACCAAAACCCAAAATGAAAATGGATCTGAAATAGGTCAGGGGAAAATCTAATGCCCATTCTAGGTCAGTTTCTGACCAGATATTGGGACTTGAATCTATACCAACAAAACTTCCTGCAATTTAATTTTCCATTTGGAAAGAGAAATCCTAAAGTCCTGAAGTTGCTCCGAACCTATGGCATAACAGCACGGTGCTGAGTACACGGGGCGGTAAAAGGACTCACGTTTCCCCCCAAGTCTCTAAATCTGCTCACGGTTTTCTATGTTCCGTAAAAGAGAACAGCAGCACTGACACACAAGGTTATTCACCTACCTGAAAACATCATCATGTGCTGAAAGTTCCAGGGGATCTTCTGTTTTCGGCCCAGATTCAGGAGGAAGGAGAGGGGATATATGTTACAGGCTCTGGCGATAAAAATAGCAAGCTATAGATAAGCAAAGGGAAACATTGAGGAAAATGCTGCTGCCATGAGTGTGTGAGTCCTTGAGCTTAAATATCACCTCCTTAACCTTCTCTACATTTTCCCCCCCCCCCCAAACAGGAATAAACACGCCACTTCATCTATGTCCAAATTGTTCTCAAATTCATCTTTCAATGTCAATTCCTTTCCAGAAATAATAGAGAACTTGGTCTTTCTTTGCATATAGTCTTGGTTTAAAATGGTTAGCCCACTAGTAGTTCAATCACTGTAAATTTTCTCATCACGTTGGTGTTGCTGAAGACTGACTCTATCCTCAATTCTTCTGCAAAACGTAAGGCAGAGACCATTCCGATGCCGTGGCATTATCTCCTCAAGCAGCTCTTAGAAAGGCTGAACGCACTTCTGCTCATGATTGCTGTCTTACTTCCCATCAGTTTATGTTCCCTGTATCTAGCAAGCTTCACTTACTTTTTGCTTTCAGTGGATTTAATTTTGAGAGGAATTGCCTGTCTAACTGCATAGTACAATTGCCGCTTGAAGAGGCATTTTACTAAAGTCAAAGCTTCACAGTGAAAATCCTCGGAAATACCAGTGGTATTCATCTCTCCTTCTTTGTTGTCTTTGACTCATTGCCTGATAGCCTGTCTATTCTGGTTTGTTCGCGGTGGCTAAAATTATTTGGAAGATGGAACTTCCTTATAAGATCCAGGGTTTGGATGACATGTGAGCGTTCAGCTGAATGCTCAGTGGAGAGGGACGAGTAGGCAAATGCGTGTGCTCACGTGGCAGGATTTATATAAGGGGGTTGGCTTTCTGGGCTAAGATTTGGTGCCTGTGATCTGAGGTGGCATTTGCCCATTTTCCAAGTGAGGGTGACAGCTACTGAGTGTCCTTGGGGATATCCCTTTTTTCTTTCTTTCTTTCTATTTTGAATAGCCAGAGGATGAGTGCACTTGCCAGAAAGAGAGATAGAAAGAGGGAGAAAGCATTTCCCAATGGGCCTGGTGACGCGGCAGACCCTTCTCCTCCAATCCTTTATCCTGTTGGGATTCAGGGCATACATAGACATGTACCAGGTATATTTTTTCAAGCTGCTGGAATCAGGATTCAAGCTGTGGTCAGCTATATGGGATCCAGCTCCTTTAACTAGTAGGCTATGAGGCTGGCCCTTTGGGGACATCCCTAATTACTCAATTTCCTTCCAGAAAGATGATCTGTTCCCGCTAGAAATGCCTCCTGCTCCAGCCCTAAAACTGGAAAAGCCCTCAGTATCAAAAGTGAGGTCTAGGGACCAGCAGTTGGTGTAATGGCTATGTTGCTGGACTCCCATGTGGTCGACAGCGGTTCAAGTCCCAGACCCAGTGGCTTAAACTCACACTGGGAGCATGTGCATGCGTGCCTAAGATCCCTGGAGGAGAAGGGATGGGGGCGTGGCCATCCCCCCACAGGGTGACTTCTTGCTTTCTGTCTCTCTGTCTCTTTCTTTCTGGTGAGTGTGCGCGCCCTACAGCAGAAACCTCCCCCCACCCCCAAAAAAAAGAAAGGAAAAAAAAGTGAAGTCTAGATTTGATCTGTACAAGGAAAGGTTCTATCTCATTAAAATAAACTTACCGTGTACAAAGCTGATGATGCTTAAAGCACATCCATCGTGCTAATTTCTTTTGATCTTAACTCTGTCTATCCTATTTTCAAAGAACTCATTGGGAAAAAGGCTTTGCTATCTTGCAATGAAAACATCTCCAAAGCTTAATAATCCTGGCTGCCTTCTGATATACTCTAATGCAGAATAAATACATCTCTCTCTATAAAGAATGGATACTTTAATGTAAATAATTAATCATTTTAGTTAAATGTATTTTAGATACTTGAAAAATACTGTTCTCCTTAAATTTTGCCTCTGAATTTTCCTTAGTATTTTCCAAACGTCCGATCCTGAACAATAAATATTTAATAAAGGCCCTAATTTCTTAGGATGTTTTTCTTTCCTCACTAGAAATTACATATTTGCTTTGAGCTTGATCCTTGCAGCTAACCCAAGGAAATTACTTTAACAATTTAGCAGAATAATCAGTGAAAGGAGGTAGTTCATTCTCTCCTCTAATCACCCCACATTCTGCATTTCAAAGGATACAAAAGCTCCAAGTATAAAAAGAGCATTAAAGATGTGATTCTGGAAGGTGAACAGCGCCAGGCCCATGTAACAGAAGATGACGTTCTCAGCCAAAAAATTCATAAATTCAAATAACTGAAAATAAAACAGAAACAAAAACCATTAGTTGCGCCTCGGGTTTGAGTCCACGTAATCTCTGGAGACTGTATTTGGTGACTGCATGGTCCTTCTTCATCCGGAAGGCCACCCTTTGGCTTGTGATCCATTTCTGGAGGGGTACAGGGGCTCTACTTTTCCTGTCAGGTCAGTTGACTCTACCCTGGCTCTTTATCCACTGACAGACGCCAGTGTCCCATTCTTCCCTTCGGCAAGGCTGTCAGAGAAACCTGTGGGAAGTATTAACCAGCAAGATGCTTCTATGGAACAATTGCTACTAAGATGACAAAAATAACCATGTTTAAAAAAAAAATGAAGCTAAGTGACTTGCGGAAAGTGTACATTGTCAGGAAATGAGGGAGATAGTTTCGACCCTTATGCACATTACATAGCATATGCACCTGTGTTCCTAGGCCCTGATGAACTCAATTTTTTTTTTTTTTGGAGAGATTTTCGCTATAGGGTGCTCGCCAGACAGAGAGAGACATAGAGACAGAAAGCGAGAAATCACCCCCCAGGGGGGATGGTCACGCCACAATCCCTTCTCCTCCATTCTCCTCTCGGGATCTTGGGCACGCACGCACACGTGCCCGGCATGAGCTTCAAGCCACCGGGTCCGGGACGCGAACTGCGGTCGACCACATGGGAGTCCAGCAACATAAAACAAAAACCATTAGTTGCGCCTCGGGTTTGAGTCCACGTAATCTCTGGAGACTGTATTTGGTGACTGCATGGTCCTTCTTCATCCGGAAGGCCACCCTTTGGCTTGTGATCCATTTCTGGAGGGGTACAGGGGCTCTACTTTTCCTGTCAGGTCAGTTGACTCTACCCTGGCTCTTTATCCACTGACAGACGCCAGTGTCCCATTCTTCCCTTCGGCAAGGCTGTCAGAGAAACCTGTGGGAAGTATTAACCAGCAAGATGCTTCTATGGAACAATTGCTACTAAGATGACAAAAATAACCATGTTTAAAAAAAAAATGAAGCTAAGTGACTTGCGGAAAGTGTACATTGTCAGGAAATGAGGGAGATAGTTTCGACCCTTATGCACATTACATAGCATATGCACCTGTGTTCCTAGGCCCTGATGAACTCAATTTTTTTTTTTTTTGGAGAGATTTTCGCTATAGGGTGCTCGCCAGACAGAGAGAGACATAGAGACAGAAAGCGAGAAATCACCCCCCAGGGGGGATGGTCACGCCACAATCCCTTCTCCTCCATTCTCCTCTCGGGATCTTGGGCACGCACGCACACGTGCCCGGCATGAGCTTCAAGCCACCGGGTCCGGGACGCGAACTGCGGTCGACCACATGGGAGTCCAGCAACATAGCCATTACGCTAACTGCTGGTTCCTGATGAACTCAATTTTTTAAAAAAGGCTTACACTGAAGACCTCCTTCATGTAGACAGGAGGGACAAACTTGGAAAACTTGGAAGCAGAATAAGAATGAATGTTGATTTTAACATTAGGATGATCAGTGTATTTCAAACCCCAGACAATGAGACTCATTAGATTGATTGATGTAGGTATATCTATTAAATGTCTATCATTTCTAGCTGGTAAAAAGAAAATGATTAATCCCAGGTTTCAGTTTGCAGCAGCCAGAACACAATAGATACATCAAATTCACTCCGAAGAATGGAGTAATAACAAGCTATGCTGAGAGATGCTCCTGAGAGTTATTCTTAGACCATTAACGAAACAATTTAAGCTGAACATGAAAAACGTTCTCCAACTTCCCGATGAAAAACAAAAGGAAAATGTGTCCAGAGGCTACAACAGAAGCAGATTTGGAAGAGACTTTATGTTGAATGTTCCAGACTTTTCATTTGGAAGTTTCTGAAACTTCATTCCGAGACCTTCATAAATCACCATGTTAGGTAAACGTCTCTGGAGGCATTTCCCTTGACTTTTTAAGGACTCATTATTTTTTCATGTAATGCATTTACAGCCCCACAAATAATGCCCAATAACTGTTCACTGGCAGCTGACAGAAAGAAAAGCAGGATCTTGTCAGAAACATTATTTAAAAGCCGTAATAGAAAAGAAAGGATTAAAAGAGACAAAGCTCCTTTGGTACAAGATGGTCTTTCTGCAGTGGCAGCCTCATCAATTATCCTGAGCACTCATTTTCCATCCTAGGCCAGCCCGTGTAAACAAACGCTGTCACCCAAATAAGCGTGGAAAGCTTGAAAACATGGGGAAATGCAGGGATGAGGAACATTTTCCCACTTCATTATATTTTTACTTCCTTAAAAAGTGAGGAACCAGCAGTTAGCATAATGGCTATATTGCTGGACTCCCATGTAGTCGACCGTGGTGCAAGTCCCAGACCAGGTGGCTTAAACTCACGCCGGGTACGTGTGTGTGCGTGCGTGCCCAGGATCCCCAGAGGAGAATGGAAGAGAACGGATTGTGGCGTGGCCATCTCCCCTGGGGAGGGGAGGGGTGATTTCTCTCTTTCTGTCTCTCTCTGCCTTTCTGGTGAGCGCATGCACCCTATAGCAAAAACCTCTCCAAAAAAAAAAAAAAAAAAAAAAGGGGTGTTGGGTGAAAAAATTTTACCCCAAAATTTTTTACTCCAACCCTT